CCAAGCAGTCTTCTCCCTGACTCTGACCTAATATCATTGTGTCTGGGGGGATTTTCAATTCAGTCCAAGGACCACTATCCCACATCCATTTTACTGTAGCTTTCCAAGGCACTTTGACATTCTTGGGCCAATAGATCATAATCTGGTGAGATGATCAGACTAAGTTTACACCACAACCTCCTGTAGGAACCAAGTGAGAAAATGCTGAGCTTCATGTTTGCTGATTGTTCCACCACCAGTCATTTACTCAAACATTTTTTTTTGAGTTTATTTACTTTTGAGAGAGAGGAAGAGAGTGCATCAGCATGAGTGGGGGAGGGACAGAGAGAGAGGAAGAGAGTCCCAAGCAGGCTCTTGGGACAGAGCCCAAGATAGGGCTCCATCTCACAAATGGTGAGATCATGACCGGAGCCCAAATCAAGAGTCAAATGCTTAACTGACTGAGCCACCCAGGTGCCGCGTTCAAACAAATAGGAGGATTAGTATTCATCAGGATAGAGGACGTGCTAAAGATGATGAAGAAATAAGCAAGACAGTCTCTGCCCTCAAGTTGTACATGCTCTTACAGAGAGAAAAAGCAATCCCTGGTAATTTTACATGATCACATGTGCTATGAGGAAGGCACTCAAAGGCTGGTGTGGAAACATCAAGGTCCGGTGGTGGAGGGCATCTAAGAATAGAGCTGGGAGGTATAGGAAGGAGATCGATGTCATATACAGAGTTGAAGGAAGCTTCAGAAGGGGAATTAGGATTAACTTGTGCAACTTCAGAGGTCTAGATGGGACCAGTGGTAGAATCATAAAATGGTGTTAGGAACTGAGGGACTTGAGACATCCAGACCACGGTTTGGATGGTTCTAAATGGCACTCCACTGTCATTTTGGACTGGATCATTATTTTTTGTTGGGGACTATCCTGTACATTATAGGATGTTCAACAGCATCCCTGGCCTCTATCTGCTAGATATCAGTAGCACCTGCCTTCCCTCCACCACTAAAACTTTCTCCAGACATTACCAAATATCCCTGCGGTGGTATAAAATCACCCCTGGTTGAGGACCATTGCTGTCTGTTTACCATGAGAAAACTGAAACTCAGTTAACAGTAAATGACTTGCCCAACTAGTTAGTATAGAGACAAAAATAAAACCCCAACTTCTAATCATAGTTCAGTCCCCTTTCTACAACACTAGAAGATGCTGCAGGTGCCTTTCGGGATTATTTTTCTTCCCCTTTCAGCTTCTTTGTTGTTGAGAACATGGCCGATGCTGTGTTTGCAGAAGAGGGGTAGCCAGAACCCTGAGCTCCGCCTCAGCCCTGGCATGAGACCCTAGCAGGCCGTTTGTGACTATGACAACAGAGTCCCTCATAAAAACAACAGGACCTATTTCAGTTGTTGAGAAATTATTTGGGCAAGTAGTTGATGTTTCGCAAGTGACTTTAATCATTCTTAGCCAATATCCTTTAACAGACAATGTCAAACACAGAAAAGACCAGGTTTCTTATGTTTCTGAATGCAGTGTGGCTCTCCATGTGCACATTTCTCTGGAGCGCCATTTGTAAGTCTATGGTCTTCGTCTGTAGCTGCTGCTCAGAACACAGAACCTGCCCCCTGTGACTACAGTGATCTGACTGTGGGGTCCATACCTCTGAAATCCAGTCAACTAGACTCATGGCACTGTAGTCTCCCGAGCATAACTGAAGAAGAAGAAAAGGCTACAGAATAACTGCTGGAGGCCACCATCTCCAAATCCTTCATTTAACATGCAGGCGAGCTTTTCCCTACACAGCAATGAAAGATAAAATGCCCGCTTGGATTCTTTGTCTTTTCAGTGTGAATAAAAGCCTTTAATGCATCCAACTGAATCATTTTCAGAATGGTGCCGACGGATAGGGGTAAGAAAGAGGAAATTGGATCAAATGTTGATAAGAAAAGAGAAGTCTCCATTTATGTACATTATTCATGCAGTAAATAGTGCTGCTGGCCTACTATGGGACAGGCCGTGTTCGAAGCATCAGAGAGGGAGCAGTGAACAAAACTCCTGCCCTTGGGGAGCTTATATTCTAATGTGAAGTGACAAACAATGAATACATAACAGTACAAGTGCTACGCAGGAGAATGTATCAGAGTAAGCAGTAGAGAAGGAGGAAGGGGTGCTGTTTGGGTGGGAAGATCAGTAAAGGCATAAATAGGAATAAAAAATGTGATTAACTCCACTCCGGTCTAATATTCATCCGGCTCCCACATAATCTCTGTTGGCACTGACCAGTTACACCATTCTTGTGTGATAAATGCGTGTGCTTTACCAAATCCCACCGTCGTTAAGTGATTATCAAGACTTAAGTTGATACCGTTAGTTTGAAAGTTACTTTTTTCAGATGGCCCATTCTATTTTTATGTGCTCTGAGTTGAGGGGTTTATTTTATTAATCAAAAATCTGCTTCCTGGCACTCCCACCCAACCTATATGTCTAAAATAAGGCATCCCAATTTGACAAAATACTCCTTTCTCTTGTGGCAAGATATCGACTTCTACCTTCAATCCAGGCGGTGACTGAAGGCTTTTCGGGGAGCTAGAAGGTGGAGACGGTATTTTATTTTATTTCCGGGCACTAAATGTTAATTTCTAGCCACAAGTTACTGAAACTAGAATTTGGTAGCTGACATAGAATTGAAGGAAGAATTTGAAGAGAGAAAGGTACTGGTTTTTATTCCCACCCAGTGTTCACATGAGACTTTTGCTTTGCAAGTGACCAGGGGGCCGCAGCAAGAGGAGAGAGAAGGATGGATGCCTTTAATTCAGTGGCACTTTGGGAGACTGCCACCCTCAGGCTCAGAGTAGAAAGAATTATAGATACTCAGCTCTGTGTACTCTGAAGTAGTCGCGGGGGGGATAGAAGCCAAGGGGGGTAAGGAGAGGGCTGCCTCCAGACTCGACGTCTGCTTTTGATCACTGCCCGGGTGAGACATATAAGCTGAAACAGGGCCATTTCTAGCGGAGGAGGAAGAGCAAACACAAATGCCAGCTTCCAATCAAGGTATCATTCAAGTTGCAACTTTTATTGGAGTCATAGATCTCAATGAAGGTGTGCAACCTGAGCTGCCCTGCAGGGTACTTTAACACGGCATCTCCCTCTGAGCATAGTCTCGTCTCCCTCCTAGTCTCTTGCAGTCTGGAATAATCCAGAGACGTGGACAAAAACCAAAAATGCAAAACATCTTTTCCCCAGATTGCCAGGTGGCGGTGCAAAAACCAGCAGCATGATCCCAAGAAGTCCGCAGGCCAATACAATACCAAGGGATTTCTTGAGTGACTCTGTATTGCCAGATATAGCTAGATGTAAGTTCATCTAAGTGTATAAACTTTATTATACACATATATGTAATACATATATATACACACACATTGTATAGTCTTACAAAAAAGTGTTTAAGATTGTGCAAGGTTTCCATTTATTTCCTGATCCTGGTGCTTGGAGAGCTGCATTCATGAGGTTGAGAGGACATTTGTAATATGTAACTTATTCCCAGATGCATTGGTCTAATTCACCAGAAACCCCAATTAAAAAAAAAAAGTAGCATGTACTTTAAGAAAACAAACAAACAAAAATGTTTGAAAGCACTACTGTTGTAATAATACATTTAATTCAAAGAATGCCAAGTATGTACCAAGAATCCAAGTATAGGGAAAGATGACTGGGGTCTAATATGACACAGAACAAGGGTTAATTGGATAGTGAACATGTCTTTATCTCCTGTGAAATAAATCTCATGCAATAATGAATATATCTGAAAACTTAGATTACAGCAAGGGGGAGTTATTGTATAGAATTTTCTCTAGGAGCCTAGAATCATAGCATCCTAGAAACCATGAGAGCTAAAATAATTACTGTAATCCTTTTTGATAACTGGGTTTGAAGAAGTTACTTGGGAGGGAAAGTGTAAGTGTGGCACTGGAGACAGAGGGTACCTTTCTTTCTCCCATCTGGGGTGCGAAGGTAGGCTCCTGTCCCTTCCTTTTCTACCCCACTGTCATCAGACGCCTTCTCCCCTTTATTTTCTACCATCTCCACCCTCCCCACTGCTTTCCTTCATCTTAACACGGGCTTTCCTGAGCTTCAGCTTCCTGCCGCTTCAAGCTGTCCAGCACCTGGGGTGGTAACATCCAGCCTGTAGGTTGGTAAGGAGATGGAGAAAGGGAAGAAGAAAGATTGGTGAGAGAGACTAGCTGATGGCAGATGGTGAGAGAGTGCCTGAGTCACCACCGGGGAATCTTCTGGGAAGTGCCATCTAGAACCTCTCTCTTTTCAGTTCTTTTCTGTGAGTTTTCCCAGAAGGCACAAGACTAGAAAATCATTCAGCTTCGTGAAGAAATATTAACAGGCAATTTTATGAACTGTTTGTTATTTATGTTATCACTACATAACCTAATAAATCATACGGATCATTAAATAACGTCAGGTTGCCCTTGCGGTAGTCTTCTCTTGTAGACATTCTACTTGTGATTGCTCAGGCTTAAACCACTCGAGGAAATGCTCATCTGAGGACTCTGACCTCAGCTCTAATTTCCTTGGCTTTGGTAGAAATTATGGTGACACAATATTCCAGAAAATTACCTACTTGGAAAACACAGAAGATTCCATGTTTTCGCATTTCTGGGTTTTTAATCAACTAACAACAGAGAAGTATGTCAGGAGCGCAAGGTTCAAAGCCACTCTCTGTTACTAACCAGCTTCTTAATCTTGGACGGTCGCTTCACCCTCCTGGGCCTCACCCTCCTCATCTGTAAAGTGTCTTCTGGCACCAGCGTCCATTTTTCTAAATATTTCTTAGAGTAAATGAAAACCAAGATTCTGAGTTTGAGTATTACAAAGCATTACTAGTGTATGAGGGGATTTGAAAAATACCGTATGTTGTAGACCTGCCCATTCTGCCTTCTTGTTTGTAGGAAACATGCAAGTGTAAGTTACCTAGCTAAACAAAAGCATGTTTTCTTATTGCAGATAAATGAAGATTTACCGATCCCTGGATGAAGTGCTCGGAAAGTCTTTAAATGCCATAGTCAACTGCCATTTCAAAGAAGAGAAAATAGATGGTTTTGGAAAGCTCATGCTGTTTCTTCATTGAATTTTAGGTGAGTGCATCTGAAACAAAGACTTTAAGATGGACATTGAACTATTTCCCCTTAAAGTGCTTCTCTCCTTTGCGTGAAAAGAAAACGGCCTTAAACGTTATCAACGTTCTGTACTGTTAGTGAGGTGCCACACAGTCAAAAACTTGGTTTCTGTGCTTTTTGTGGCTTTGTTACTGTTAGAAATCACCTGAAGTGTGAGGTGTGAGGTACAGACGCGCTAACATTCTTCCTGGTTCCTATGAAGCAAATGCCTCATACGCCATTCTACTCTAAAGGTCATAATTTTTTAAATATACAAAAGTACTTAGTTTCAGAGTAATAAGCCAGAATAAGACAAAACTATGTGCTAAAGGCATAAACTGGGGGAAAATTTCATGATGGTAGTGACAGTTTGATCATTAACAAGTCTGTGTGTGAGAGACAAGGCTAACATTTCACAGGCTGCCCTGGGGAGATTTTATACTGCTTAAATTAAAGTAGGACATGGTTTAGGTTAGGTGCAGTTTCTGAACTGCTGTGTATGATTAAGCAAGCACACACACGTGCTCACACACATTAAGCTTTGTTTTGCTTGGCCATAAAATGGGTGGATACAAATATTTTTTACATCATCATTCATATCTACCCTTCCATGCTATGAAAGACAAAGGCTTGCAAATCAGTGCTTTACTATTAGTCTGCAATATGCCATTGTCGTTTATCAGCAGAATGGAAAGGAATGGAGGAATTGAGAGGTGGTCTTATTGAGGAAATTGTGTGGCTTTCCACCTCCTCCTGAGTCCAGCTTTCAAAGTGTGGTTTTATTATCTACTTTGAAGAGTGGCGATTTCCGGAACAGCAGAATAAACCTCTGTTCACAGTTCTGAATAAAACAATGCAACTGACAGAGCAATGACCACTTTCTAAATCTAATCCTAAAGACACCCATGCTTGCTTCCTTTATCCTTTTTATTAACGTCAAAGCGAAGGAGCTCATTCTCTCACAATCTTCAGGGTGTGCAAATGTGGTTTATTGAGATTGCGTGTGGAACTAAAATGGTGATTTCGTTATTTACAAGATGTTTGTTGAAGGCGGTTCCCAGGAGCTAAACTTAGAGCCCTTTGAAAATATCAGTAAATCAACTTGTCTGGTGTAACATTCTGGAGGATAAAATGAAAATGAGAAACGTCTTTACTTAACTCTGTTTTCCAGTTTTGCTGGTCTGTGCCTGTTTTTACCTTCTAGTCCATTCCTTCCCTGCTCCTACTCTACTGGTTCCATGGCAGCTGACCCCTATGGGCTGCATTTTCTGCCCTGAGACTCACCCTGTTGTCTCCAGCTTCCCCAGTGACCTTGAACTCTGAGCTCCAGTAATATCACCTCTTCCCTTTCTCCCTTGAGACCTCCTGGGTGGTAATGCCTTTGGCTTCTTGCTGCTGATCTCCAAGTTCATTCACTATCCCCTGTCTAGCTCTCAGTTCTTCCATCATCCAGGTAACCATTTCTCTAGGTTAAATTCCATCTTTTTAAAATATTTATTTATTTTTATTTATTTTTAATTTTTTTTTAACATTTTATTTATTTTTGAGACAGAGAGAGACAGAGCATGAACGGGGGAGGGGCAGAGAGAGAGGGAGACACAGAATCGGAAGCAGGCTTCAGGCTCTGAGCCATCAGTCCAGAGCCCGACGCGGGGCTCGAACTCACGGACCGCGAGATCGTGACCTGAGCCGAAGTCAGATGTTTAACCGACTGAGCCACCCAGGCGCCCCCTTTTTAAAATATTTAGAGTGTTTTCTCATTTCTGGTTAGATTGAAATTGACCAACAAATCCTTCATTAATGTCTCCCAAAATTATTGGAAAAACAGAGAACAGGGATTCCTTGCTTCTCCCAAGGAAAATGATTCTTAGGAAATGCATTTTAAGTTAAATGTAAAGTTGGGTGGTTTTTCTACACTGAAAAAAATTTAACTTAATTTATTGAAGCCATGTTCTAAGCTGTACAACGTTGTAGTGTTAATTCGCTGCTACTGAGGAAATCATTGTCATATTCTTATTTTACATATCAAATTAATGGGAAGATTTTTAAATTCTCAGGTATGCACCAAATATGATTGTTACTTTTTAAATACTCACATTGCACAGAGTTCTCTACAGATGAGAACTGCTCCTTAGGGCCTGCAGGAATGGTCCCATTCCTGCGTTCACATTTAAGTCTAGACTTAATCTGTTTGATTATGGATGTGACCTTTCTCTTTCAGTAATGATAGTTTGCTACTTAAAGATGCCCTATGATCTGATCATTTCACATCTCCTGTATTAAATACTGGCTATATTGGAATGCTAAGTGATCAGATGCCACATTGTGTCTTTTTTTTTTTTTTTTGGCAGGCAAACAATTTACCACTGTCTCAACCATCCTACTCTAAAGGGCTTCCTTGATATTACAGTAGCTTTTCACAAAATCACTTCACTTGGTTATTTTAAATGCAAGTACCTTGCCTTTTTCATTTCCTTCTCACTTATTTATGGAGGCATTTTCCTTTTCAGTCTTTTCTCCGAGGTTATCATGACTGTTAATCTGTCCATTTTAATGTTTTGTGGGTACATTCAAAAGGACATGGTGTTCCTCCTACCAACAATTTTCATCTATTCAAACAATGTTAATGGTAAACCTGCAATGCCTAATTGAGGATCCTTTCAGACAATGTGAAAATGCCATTACAAGAAGAATGACTTGGATCCCTTGATAACCTAAAATTGAGAGACACAGGGGTGAATAGCTTTGTGGTGTGGTTGAAGCAGTGAATAACTGATGTTCTCAAAACAAACCTTCCTTAGTTTAGTGCAGCACTGAAAGTTCTAATCATTAACATTTCTCTCCAGCTTATGGAAATGAGGCTTTATAAAGCCATATTTAAAAAAAAAAAAACTCTCAGGGAAAGAAATGCATCCATTAATAATGCATACTACATCACACAAAAGTCTAATGAGTTAGCAAGCCAGAGACTCCTGAGGGAGTGATGCAGAAACTCAGCTTCTGGAGGTTTGGTTCACATAAGTAGGAGGGGACCTATTGAAATAAACTCACTAACTTCATAATGTTGCCTGGTGGGTCAAGGGACACATGTCATAAAAGATAGCTCAGGCTGAACCCCTCCTCATGTTGGAGGAAGGGTAGGAGGAGTGGAGGTGTGAGTCCTTACACTAATGAGCAACATTGTCAATGGAGATTTTAAATTACTGCTGCCCAAATGGTTCAGGAAAGTGCTTTAAACAAGATGTAGTCAGTAGTATTTCTGCTGAGCCACAAAGTAGGATATTGGAAAAAATCAAATGTGTTTAAAGGCAGAAATCATCTGTAATCCATCTTGGTATTCCTGGAAGCTGGCCCAGCCCTTGGCTCACTGTAGATAACTTCTAAATAAATGGTTGGTGAAGAAAGACTAAGGCCCAAAGCGATGATACCTAATGCTTACTTGTTCTTACTTTATGCCAAACAATATTCTATATACACGTATATTTCATTTCATGCTTAAACAATCCTATGACATAAGTAATATTATATTTCCTCATTTAAAGATAAGGAAACTAGGGCCCAGGGAGGTTAAATAAACTGCCTGTGGTTAAGTTGGGGGGTAAAAATTCAAATATGGACAGTCTGGCTTCAGACCCTGAGTACTTAATTATGATGTTCACTGTCTCTCATGTAATATAATCATCAATTAACTTTAAAACACAGAGCAACATTTTTTATTATTAAAAACCTTACGTCATTTCAAAACATGCCCGTGTTAAGAGACCTCACCCTAATCGTGAATGGCCTCACTTGCAACACAAATTCTCCCTTTTCAACATTCCTATTCTCCCTTTTCTTTTAAAACGTGACTGTCTAAATCAACTTCCTGATTTATATTCAAATCTCATTATTTCCATTCTTTAAAGGTTTTATCTGAAATGAGTACTTTAAAAATCCTATTTCTCCTTTTATTTCATTTGCTTCATTGAAGAACATGTAACCTTGAGCAGCAAGTTCCTTGACCTCTCTGAGCCTCGGATCCTTAACCTCAAAAGTTATGTATAAGTTGTGAAGACTAGAAAATAATATCCATAAACAACAAAGCACAGTTCCTGGTACATGGTAGGAACCCAAGAAACAGTAGCCAATATGATCTAAATACACTAGGGCCACTCCAGTATCACAGCTGGTGCTGGGGGCACCATCAACAAAATCTATTTCGTATATTCCTTAGCAAGTTATAATATTTATAACATAAATATAATATATAATAAATATAGTAATATTTCGTGTATTCCTTAGCAAGCAGACCTCTTGAGTCTCAAGGCCTACTGTTGTCCCTCATCGGTTGGTCTTTGCCAGCATAGGAATCACGTGATCTGCCCTCTCTAAGTCATGCTCTCTGAGCCTTTACTTTTTCTCATGCTGGTTTTTCTGCCTGGACTCTCCCGTCACCCACACTCCTCTCCAAATCCCCCTCACCCACATGCACACATGCACTCTCCAGTGACTTGCAACACACCAGTCATCTTTGGAGACACATCACAGCTGTTGCTGTTACCATTTCAGTTAAGTCATTGATGACCTCCTCCTGGGTCAACAGATCATCGTCAGTCCTTCTCAGAATTCACGTAGCCCTTTGAGCCATTTGTAGACGGTACAGGAGATCAGCTCCAATTGTAGACGGTAGAGAGAACAGCGATCTCATTCAGTCACTCACAGCCTCTTGTCATTTCTCACGTTACCTGTCTGTTTTCCCTCCAAAATTTTCTTCAGGGACAAATGCCAAGTTTTTTCTTTATCTTTGATTTGCCCGTACCAAGCTCACAGTAGTTTCATTTCTGGTTTTGAATGAAGTCTGGAGGGTTGTTATTTTGAGATATGCTTCGGTGCTTCCAGTGTGGTAAAGATCGTAACACTTCATCCAGCATTACAAGCAAAGGGTGAGCTCCCTTAGGGGAAAGGGGACCTTACAGAGGTGTGCCAAGCACCAACCCAGA